TTCTCAGCCCCTCTAATCCTAACTCTTTCGACTTTACTCCCCCAACCCCCAGCCCCCGTCGTCCGCGCGCGGACGTCGAGATTCGCGCGTCCACGTAGATTCGTCTCCACACTCGCGCACGCAGCACTACCCATCGGGCTCGCAAGAGCAGACTGTGAACCCGGGCTGGCGAGCAAGCAAGCAAGCAAGCAAGCAAGCAAGCAAGCAGAGGGTGGCGGAGCTTAAGCTCTCCTTCCAGCCGAATTACACGCCTACGCGCCTAACACCCCGTAACCGCGCCTAAGAGCTTGGCGTGACTGTACTCTTTCGGGTCCACTGTAAGTATACTCGTAGATCTGCCGAGCGATCGTTAACTCTCGGCCACGGCTAATGCAAACGGCGCCACGCGCGCACCCCCGAGCCCGTTGTCTCGCAGTCGATCCCACGATCGCGATAATCGAACAAGCTGCGCTGATGTCGATCTATACTTGGGCGAGAAACCGAGCAGTCTGATGCGCTTGGCGATGTACGACGGACAAGTGCTGTCATATCGGACCCATGATCCTTTTTTCGCATGTACACTCGTTTGCAAAACGGTTCCCACGCGATTTTCCTGACGTGAAATTGGAAGCCCATCAAATTCATGTTAGCGAAATCGTGAAATATTGACCACAAAATCCGAATGACTGAGCGCTTCCCCTGAATGGATCGCGATCGATTTTTTGCCAAGCAATAATCACAATAAGTATTAGAAGGTTTCTTATGTTTTATACATTTGTCGTGTATCTAGATACATTATGTGAACTTGTAATAGTCATCATCTTTAAAAAAAGTTTTGCCCTGTAAAAGGTAATTTGTATGAAACGAACCGGTCCAATTTTTTAATTGCAGTCATACACACACACACACATACAAATTAAGCTTCTGAAAATGAGATGCGAGTCGGCAGAGCGAAATTTTTGCTTGTGCAGCAAAAATTATATTTCTATAATAAATTATCGACACTTATTATTTACGACACTTGGGTTTCCCGGTAATTTGATATGTATCAGCGCGATATTAATTTTTCAACGGGATTCACTTTGATGGTTATTAAACGCACGAACGTGTGTTTCTTGCAAACATCATTTTCAGTATATTTACAAAAGAACAGCACGCTCTATTCCATTTGCAAATTATTAAATTCCACGTGATCCTGCGCGTTTTATTTTCGCGTATTTACATCGAGCCGCTCGCGGCGGGACGACAAGCGATTAAAACCGAGGTGCTTTTAATGCTTGAATTTTACGCCATGCGTAACGTTCAAAACAACGGGAGCTCGAAGTAACGAGTAAGAGGAAAATATCTCCTCGCGAATTTCACGTCCGCTGACGGGGAGACATGCGCGCGATACCCGGGAATAAATTGAATTAGAGCGCGATCAAATGAACGCACGGCGCGGAGCCCGTTATTTAATTGCCTCCTGGGCGCGCGTAAGATGAAAGAAGACGGATATACTTCCTCTGATTTTCCGAAGCTGCGAAGCGCTCTTCCCCGCGAGATCTCTCGCGACAAGTGCATCTCCTCGGGATTAAAAGCCGTCGCACTATCCACTGCCGATTACGGAGCGTCGCGGAATAATTCGCTGCGCGGGAAGCGGAATTAAACGCGCGTAGCCTTGTGACGCGCGCGCGAGCACTGAAAATTATCCCTGCAACTTCCGGCGTCGTCGTTCCGTCGACGGCTGACGATGTAAACTCTCACGGAGATACGTGCGCCAGCTCGGCGACGCTCACTTCGGCGCAGCGAACTGGCAAATTCACTGTTCGACCGCGGAGAGCTCACTCGCAATTTTGCTCGTCCGCTCGATTTGCGTCTCTAACGAGAAGCGGACTTGTCCGGATGCCGTGCGTGCGTGCGTGCGTGCGTGCATGCGTGCGTGCGTCCCGATTGCAAAGCCGTGGCCAAGTGTGTACCTAACTACAGCTGACGTGTGTACAGGGTGCGCTGAGTCTACCGGGAAACGTCTTGAAAGTGAATTCTTGAGCAATTTAGAGTCGGCCCCGAGTCAAAGTTTCGGCCCGATTTGAACTTTTTGATTTTAGTATATCTGAGAGATGGATATAAGTTTAACACATAGAAGCCCAAATCCTATTTAGCGTCTGTAAAGCTTGATCTACAATGTGTCCTTCGCTTCCTATTTCTTTAACTCCTTCTGACTCAAATCTTAAGTCTTAAGCCAGAAAAAGACAAAGAACAAGGAACAGGAAGCAAAGAGTACATTGTAGAATGCCATTTGCAAGTTCTAAAGAGGATCCCTCAGCCAGGTTGGTAAGTCAGATAGAATCCAAGGAAGTTGATGCCGACCTCAGAGTGTCAAAATAGGCGTGGAATGGAATATTGATGTCAAAATTTCGACTCGGGGTTTTCTCTGACGGAAATGTTTCCACGCGAATTATCTCTGGAAGAATACGAGTGAATAACGAAGAACTTTGGCTTCTGTTCTATTCACTTACATGCTCGTTTGGCTATATGCTAATTTTAGGTCGACTTGACGCGGACAGAGGTCCAATCTGGGACTTCCTTGGCAAGAAAGTTGAGACGCGGAGAGTTCGAAGAGGCGCAGAAAGTGTCGGCTCTCATCAACATTGTTGCGAAGGAACGACGGGTCTCCGGACTCGCCAGAGAATTCCGTACAGTTTCTCGGTTGACCCGTGAGCCACCCTGTAGATCCACTCATATTATAACCGCTGTCCCTTCAGGGATGACGGGGACAATATCGATCGCTTTTGACGTGTGTACAGTTAGTCAGTAGTGATCCTCTCGGCGTGTAGTGTACGTAGCTTGTGTAACTAATTTGTGTTTATGTAGCGAGTAACACCCCACTACTTCTCCCCCGTGTGTCGGTTCGATTCACTAATCACTAATAACCACTACTACCCCGGCTTGTTGTTGTTGAGGCTCTCGCAACCCTATCGACCGGCGATCGCAAGCCTGCGGCCTATCGCGTAAGTATTCAAGATCTGTCAAAAGTATGTAGCTTACTCTGTCGCGTTCATGTCGTCTCTATCACGCTCGTTCACTCGCGATATTAATTCGCGTCTACTTTTTTTTATTTAATACTATGATACTTTTTTTCTCTCTGTCTATGTATCCAGTCCTTCATTCGCGTCCGTCCCTCTCATTCTCTCTTTCTCTCTCTCTTCCTCTTCCGCGCACAGAGCATTTTCCAGGTCGACGGACATTTTAATTGCAATTAATGAATCTAATAAAGAGAGAGAGAAAGAGAGAAGAGACTAAATTTCTCGGATAAAATTCATCCATTCGATTTGTCTGTTTTATTTCATTTATTAACGTGAATTTTATTAACGTACGAATTACTGCAAACACCGAAAATTATTATGAAATAATTCTCTCGAGAGTTTCAGTAAATTACATCGCGAAGTATATTGCACACTTTCATGTTTGATTTAAATTGAGTGCGCTTTTGTCGTCGCATAAAATATACAAAATTATCAGTTCCTAACAAATTCATAATTAGTATTATATATATATTTTTTTTTTACATTTTGACAAGAACAACAAAAAGATTCTTACTTATAGATTGGCTATATAATCGTGAGAGAAAACTATAAATTACATCTCACGAAGCACGAAAGAGAAAGAGAGAGACATTAGTATTTCCCAATTTTCTACTAAATTTGAGCCCACTAACGAATCCTCCTTAGTCGTGACTCGCATGAATATTAGTAGTCGTTGTCTACGTCACAAAGCAAACTGATATTTGTGTAGATCATCATGTGTGTTTAATTGTGTAGTGCAAAGTAGCTGGCCGATCTTGGCATCTGAGGCACAAAGGTCCAGCTCAGTCAAAGGACGGACATTCAAGTCCAATGATCCATTGCACGCGAATTAACATTACATACTAACTCTAAAATCTTTGAGGGGACATTAATCAATTAAGATGTTCCTTCACCAAAATAATCAGCGAATCGATAATGTAAATTGATCAATCGTCATATATAAAATTACAAGTAATTTCATAGATTGATGAAACTAATTATTAATCAAACTTTATTGATACACTGATTTATAATTATTTTCATCAGTCGGTCGAATTACTCGTAGTTACAGACAAGATGAGTCAACAATTATTGCCACCTCGAATGATTCTTTGAAGCAAGAAACAAAAGTGGTCTTCAGATTTTTTAAGCTATTCTACTCAGAAAAAAGCTCCTTATGGTTATTAAGCTTTATTTTCTGGGAGAAGTAGCTTCGAGGATCTTGAGATTATCTTTGTTTTTTTTATTTCGAAGATACTCAAAGTGGCAATAGCTATATTGACTCACCCTATATACGACGGCTGCTCTTAATATTGACGATAGATCTGCCGATTATTTTCGTTAAAGAAAATTCTCATCGACCAATGTGCCCGACATTGGTGGCTGCGCACGATGCCAAGATCGGCCGACATCACCGACGTAGATCTCGAGAAAAAAAAACCATCCCCTCCTCCTCTCCGTCCCATCTAACGCGAAAGAAGACAGACTAGAGCTTCGTCGTAGAAGCAAGAGAAAAGAAGCAAAAAGTAAAGCAAACGAAAAAAAAAAGTAAACAAAATTAACAGCGCACATGGAGGACCTGGTTGGAACTGACCTTGCAGTGTCATTGTAGGGTTTCAAGGGTGAGAGCGGTGTGACTTTGGCGAGGGCCCCCGGCCTGTCGGGTCCGAAGGGTGAGCCCGGCGAACGGGGTTACCGGGGCGAAAAAGGCGCCAAGGGAGACGTAGGTACACCAGGTAGATTGCCACGAGTCACTCGGAAATCCGCCGAGAGAAGAGCGAGGGATAAGCGCCGAGAAACGATCGCGTCCGCCCTCTCCCGTCTCGGTCAGAACTTGGAGTCGTTCGGGCTGCCGAGCCCTGTTCGCGTTTTCACGTCCCCCGTGCTTTCGGTCACGCGCCCTCCCGCCCCCCCGCATTCCCACGGAAAGTACGAAAACCACGGCTCGGATTCGTTGGACTCTTTGTTCGCGACTGCTGGCGATCATCGCATTTCGCGAGAGAGCATCCCGCCCTCGGCAGCCGCTTAAGCTGTTAACTGTACAAGGGTCTCTCTCGAAAAAGCACGTGGCCCGATACAGAAGTAGCACGAATTTCGCCGAATCCCGATTGCCGTGTTTCAAAAGCTTCCTTTATTAGGTTAAGTACGACGGTACAGAGTGATCTCTATCGAGTCTAGTCTTTGTTAGTGCGCCAAAGCGAACGCCGTGAATGTTGTTGCTCCGACAGTTCTCTTGTTTTTAGAATGAAGTGGCAGAGCCGCTACGCAATTCGTTCTACAGTTTCATCGGCGGCTATAAATCGGTGCTAAGAGTCCGTCAGATTGCGACGAGATCGTGCCGAAAGGTGCGAGAAACAATGAAAACTACTCAATTTGGTCATTGCTGATGTAACCAAACGCAGGACTCGTCGCTCGCAATATTCATTTTGGCACTCACTGTCAAAGATCTAATCGACAGTTCGCTCTATACCGTCACACTTAACCCAATGACGGATGGCTGTGAAATCGGTAATCAAATCTGACCAGGCTCGCACTATCTCTGTGTTATCAGACTACGGAGAGTTCGGATTAGGGATCGAAATTTAACCAGTCAGAATAAAGAAAACCAATCTCAGGTTTAGTAAACTTTGCTCTGACTGGTCAAATTTCAATCCAATCCAATCCATAGTTTGATACGGATTTTAGACCACGTACTTCTCGAACGACCCAAGTATTTCGAGTGGTTGGATTTTTTGCAAGGATTTCATCTGCCCCCAACGTTTCACGTAAGGCGAGTTAACGTTAAAATCTATAGTCCGCTTCCGAGAGAGAGAGAGAGAGAGAGAGAGAGAGAGAGAGAGAGAGAGAGAGAGAAAGAGAAAGAGAGAGCGTGTCCGCCGTGCAATTGGTTTACATGTAGCAACGCTTACCATTTGGACTCAACGGGCTGTGTTCTGACAACGCGTTCAGCATTAATCCGATTCTAAGCTTCATTTGTTTCATACGATGTGTGGTCGCGCGCGTAATATTGTTATTATTTCAATTCGGCGAGAGTCGGTCCTACCGGCCACATATTTAGCAACGAGCGCGCGCGTTCAGAAAACAGACCGTTGCGGTTCCGCGCGTATCCTTTCCCGTGAATATTTTCGCAGGTGATCGCTTACGAATGAATCGGGATCTTGTTATTTTATGCGCGAATATTCCATTAAAGGAGCCTACTATTTGGACTGTACAAGCGTGCAGAAATGGACGTTGCTTCGAAGATCTAGCTCCGAAGACGCGTAACACGACGCGACGACTCGAAAAATCCCCGCGGGAAACTCGAAATCGCACTCGCGTTGGTCATCGACGTCCCCCCGGGGTGGGGGAAGGGGGGAAGAGAATTTGTGGCGGCCTGCCTCCTCGAACCCCTCGCGAGTGTAAAACGCGCCAACTTCGTCTTCCGTGGAAAGTCCTTTTTTCCTTCTTTTTTTTTCAAAATAACTTCAAGTTGACAGCGCTTGTTAGTGGCGCGCAGCGCGGAATTTAATACGGATCAGCGACCGTATTGAATTGCAAATTTAATTAAACGTTTTTCTGTTTCCCAAAGAGACCGTCAGACGATCAATATTTACTATATCACCGTTCTCGTGCAACACGCCGATCGCTATTATTGCGCGCATTTTCGTGACAAACGTTACGGGATTGCCCGTGTGTGACAGTCATTCGACGAACATCTCCTGTAACGTCCTTCAAAGCACACACGGAAGGTATTAATATATTGGCAATATTTCACTGACTATCGCGTCATGAGCGACACCACACGGACTTGTTCATACATCAGACACGTGAGATCTTCCTGTCGATGGTAACGGCGTCGCTGGCCAGCCGCATTTTTTCTTTTATCATTAACGCAGACAGACAAATACATTTCACCATATCACACTTATTTAACTCTGACAGTACGCACAGAAAAAAATACATACTCTATCAAAGTAAATGTTGTTTGTTTCTAGTATTTCGTAATTTTATATAAATTTGTCATAAAGGTTTTTATCGTAAGAATCAAATTTTGTTGATCCTTTGAGCCATACATTTTATTTCTCGGTGAGGTTTTTTCAAAATTGGGGTTTCAGGGTCGCTGATTATGAATTTGAGGTAAAAAAGTTAAAACTCGAAATGACAGGTCGAATGTGACGACTATAAATTTTCAAAATTAGCAATCTCGCTTTTAGCATTATTTGGAAATAATGTTGACATTCCCTCGATATAGAAATATTTGCGTTTTTTGCAGAGATATTTGTAATTTTACAGCAAACATATTATCAGTATTTCAATAGTTTATTGTAAAAAATAAAGTTTCTTGAAAATCTTGAAAAATCTAAAATACTGTTAATTGTCTTTAATACTAATGTTTCGATGTATCGATTCCTAGTTAGCAAATGGTATTTGGCTGAAAAATGTCTTCTTTACTTTTATATTTACTTATAATAATAGTAGAACATTTAAATTCTTTTTTTTTACTTATTTTTAGTTCCTTATGTTTATGAGAAAGTGTATGTGTATGTATCAGTCAGAGACACACTTTCCGCTCGTTTTCGCGGAAAGAGGAAACACGGATGGCCTGGGACGCCTCGTGTACTTAAAGGGTCTCGATACGCCGTGCCGGACAATAAACATCGAGTGTCTGAGGGTCTCTCTCGGGTAAGCTATTTTTTGAACGGGATAAACACGCCGGAAGTATTCCCGGCACGGAGAAGCGCTCCGGGCGAAATGAGAAGTCGGGAGCGAAGAAACGATGGCGAAGGAAGTCGAAGTGGGCGACGGGACCCCCGTTGTAAGCGATGGGAGGATGGTCGGGGAAGGGCCGGGGGAGGAAGGGGGGGGGAGAGGGGGCGGCAGAGCAAGCACAGCAGAGGCAGCAGCCACGTGCGCGCGTCTACGGGACTGAGGGCGTCATCGATCGCGCGAATTAATCTAACTTCGGCTCCGAACGTCGAAGCGGCAGCTCACGGCCGGCAAATTCGCTTTCAGGGCCCAAGGGAGACATGGGACCGCCGGGCATCACCGGGCTCAACGGAACCGAGGGCGAACCCGGTATCCAAGGACCTCCCGGATTACCAGTAAGTAGAACGCAAATGAGAAATGTTTCCCCCAGATCTCCTCCTTCCAATTCTCCTCCCGCGCTGTAATTTCCCGATGTAATATTCAGGAAACGTTACGCCCCGTGTTTTTGCAAAAGAAAAAAGAATTGACACAAAAAATGTTGGAGTCATGTACGACCCAAATATTTTTTTTTATTCATTTCTTTCTCATCTGCATATTAAAATTTGTATTAAGGTGAGTAAGCAATAGTTTAACGAAACAAATCTTTTTAAGTATAAAATATTTCATAAAAATATTTTATTGTATGAAATATTTTTTTCATTTTTTGTACAAAATATTTTATTGTATGCAAATATTTTTTTCAGCAGCAACTTAATGTAAAGAATTGTTTATTGTAAAAATATTTTTTTATTGTGTATAGAAAATATATTTTTCAGTGTAGTATCTGTCTTTGATATAAACATCGTAAAATTTGTATTGTGCTGAAAAAGATCATGACTCCACTTTGCTGCTTATGTGCTTGTAACTTTATCGTGCCTTTTAAAGGTTACTTACATTTCTTTCTTTCAGAAATTATTCTCAATTATACTTTCATAATTAACGTCAGATCATAGCGTGCTGCACTCCCAATTGGCAAAGTATGTCGCGCATCATCATGTGACATTTGATATTTTTTTTTTCTTGAAATTAGAGAAGAATATTACATTAGCGGAGAATATTACACACCAGCTATTTCGCTGGATGTTCCGAGGATCGGTAATTGAATATTTCTGTCATGGTCATGTTTTCGCGACCGCAACGTTATATTGTGAGCGTTGCTAAATTTAATTGGAGCATGTAAAGCGTACTAATGTTTAATATACAAAGAGATTTCCTGCAATTAGAGAATTATGCAAATCTGCGATGTATCATCATATGTCATATTAAATGAAAATTGGATGTCTTCACCGTTGAGTTCATAAAATACACCGATATGTATTACTCTCTAAAGTATCAGTGTATCCTCCACTGAAATACTATATCTATATAATTGGTTATAACTACTGTATCTATAACTGGTACTTATAAGTATAGCACTGCAACCTTAGTAAAATCTTAAACAGAATCAGTTAATATTCAGTTAATATTTTAATAATGTTCAGTTAACTATTTCTATTATTGATATGTAGTTTCGCAAACACAGTCAGTGTCATTGCACGCAAATCGCATGGAAGACATTAATTCCGTCGCCACAAACGCAGAAATATGGATTTAGCATAGCGTATAACGAATTTGTGTGCTACAAACGTAATGAAATCTTACTGATCAAAAACAATTGGTTGCCTGAGAAGTTATATTATTCGAAAAATAGTTATATCATCTAACCCCGGTTTTTCTTACATGCTAATATACGAATGATATGTTTGAATGCTTTATGGGAACTGTTCAGTAAACTCGTAACTGTTCGCAAAATGCATTAAATTTATATACAGGGTGACCCACGTAACTCTTTATAGCTCGATATCTCAGAGATTAAGAAAGATACGAAAAAAGTGTATAGGCCATGTATTTTTCGAACGACCCGCGTATGAAATATGGGCAGTTTTGCCGCGGTTAACGACGAGTGCTGAACCTATGACATATTACGTACGTCGCGCTTGTCTGTCTCTCTTCAGGGAATATCCGGACCTAAAGGTGAAAAAGGCGAATACGGCGACATCGGTCCTCCCGGACTCATGGGACCGCCGGGTCTACCTGGGCCGCCGGTACGTAATGAGCCCCTAACGCGGCTGCTCAATGACCCTTCTTACCATAAACATTCGATCTTATGCGATTCCGCCTGTTGACAGGGCTATCCCGGGCTGAAAGGCGAGAAGGGAGAAAAAGGCGAATCGGTGAGTGCGTACGTTAGATGTGCCGACATGTGTTGCGTTCACCGAATCGCATTCCGCCGCTCGCCGCCGTTATACGTGGCCGTTGACGATCGATTCATTCCTAGAAATTTTTTGCAACGCTCATTATTTGCATGTCATTTGCATTTTTATCGTTTCGCGTTTTTTTTATCTCTCTTCTTTTTTCTCTTCTTTTTTGTTTTTAATATCGCGCTTCAGCGCATCGTGCACAGCGCGCGCGATGACCGTAAATCTCGCCGAAGCGATCTCGCGGAAAGTGATTTTATTCGGCATGGGATCAATTTAAGTATGGCCCCATTATCAGGGAATAATATGAGCGTATGTGTTACGGGCGATCGTTCGGTGAACGCAGCTGCCGCGTCGTCCTCCGGTCGACCGCGTAGCCGTTGTGTACTCTTTCTCGATTCCATTGTACGTTCGTCGTGCAGCGGCTCCGCGATCGATCGGCACACGATCGCGAGAACGCACGGAATTGCGGTTTCCAATGCAGAGAAGTGTGTTAAACGGGACCTCACGATGAAATGAATTTCTTTTTATGGCGGGACACCGACCTCCCCTCCGTAGAAGTACAAAAAGCTCCGGCGAAGACAGGTATGTAAAAGAAAGAGAGAGGGGGAGAATGATATCCGCACTCGTCTGCGATCGTGCATTCTCTTCTGATCGCACGATCGCGGAGGAACGCACGCGCGAATACATTTCTCGCGAATATTAACGTACGACGAACGCGTGTCTGTTCGCAGGGAGACGGCACGTTCGAGGTGAACGCCGGAGAAATGGTAAGTCGCCCCGCAAATACCGATCTATATCACTCAGAAAAGAGGAACTCTAATTGCAAGCTACTGTTCCCTGCAGTGCTCAAATTCTAAGCGAAAACTTTGACCGAAAGAGTATTGCTTTTCTAATCAAGTGGACTATTAATTGGAAATTTACTGGGTATTCTAATTTTTTTTCTTTCGAGTTAAGAGGAACATGTTTACTTCAGAGGGAGGGGGAGGGGCTTGTGTCGTGAGTTTCATGTAGTTAAATTATTTTTCATATGTTTATAAATAAAATATTATTTTTATGTGTGTATATGTATGTGTATATATATATATATATATATATATATATATATATATATACATACACACATACATATATATATATATATAAAATTTGTAGTGACTTTTTCTACGCCTCCCTCAATATATTCATGAAGTGTCTCGGATCTAGAGCGGGAAATCTGGTCACCTTAGTAAACGCCCAACCTTACTTGAAGCAGAATGCCTTTTTATGTGCTATACGAAAGACGCGACAAGCAAGACCTGAACTGTAGATAAAAGACGAGATTCCTCTAACTTTAAGAATATTGCGCGTAGAATATTGTCCTGTTGGTTTTCGAAGGATTCTCTTGAAGCCTTGTATAAAAGCCGTGTATAAAAGTTCTGTAGGATTCAGAGGATTCAGTTAAGAATGAGATTACATTTTTCGGGCAATACTCGTGTGTCTGTTAGTTGCGCGCTATGTGCGCGGAAACGTTTGATGTACAAAAAAAAAGGAGCAAAAGAGGAAAAAAGAAGCGAAAAAATATTGAAATTCGGAAACAATACCACTTCGCTTTCGTGCGTTTTCCGTTCGATCGGGTTTGAAATTCTCGCTCGCGTCGCGCCACCGCGGCATCGACTTTACGCTTTGTTACGGGCTCGTTTTGCAGAGTTATGTAACCCTTTGCAGCACGGCAGTTTATGGAGATTATAAAGCAATTGCCCGAAGGTACAAATATTGTCGAACGAAATCTGTTTTCATTTTCTGATTTTACGGTACATTTATCTGAAATGGAATTTTTATGGCGACGGCGAAAAAAAGAGAGAAAGAGAAGAAAAATTGCACACGGAGCACGGTTACATCGTCGGGGAGTTTTAGCAAATATTATTCCATTAAATCCGCCGGGATGTTTCCTTTTTTTTTTCGTTTTCAACCAAGGTTATAGATCGCGTTTCTTTTTATTCCTCTCGACGGACGGATGCAAGCGATGGTATTTCAACCGACGGTATTATTCGATGCGTAGATAATGGGACCGCCCGGACCTCCGGGACCCGCTGGTACTCCCGGACTGCAAGGTCCACCCGGAATCAAGGGTGACAGAGGACACGATGGCGCCAAGGGCGATCCTGTCAGTAACTATTATCTATCTATTGCATCCACGTATACCGCACAGAATATAGATAAAAGCGCAGTCTCGAGCGCCCGCGCCGCGACAGAAGACGAATGTTGATTCCTACCCCGGGGCTATAACCGTTGAATAACGATGAATCGATCTCTCTCGCGGCATGTCGCTGCATCTCGCGTCGCGTTGTTGCAAAGTGCATTTGTTCCGACGTGCTCTGCGCGCGTTTGCACGTATATCTGTGCGTATGTGTCCGTTAAATTAGCATAAAAATCGAACAAACTATGCAGCTTACAACTATGCAGTGACAAATACACTGAAAAGAAGGTTCTGTAATAACCATCAAGCCTAGATAATAGTTATCAGATGCTTTGGTAAAAAAGTTTCAACTGAACGAGAATATTCTCAAATAATTTGATAAATATTAACAAATAATTTTAGCAAAATATTTATCACCGTATTTATATATCAATTACCAAGTATCGTGCAGAAATTTCCAACCAAATACATTTGTTAATTATTACGAGACTTTTGTTCAGCTTACAATCGTAGTGACAAATATACTGAAAAGAAGGTTCTGTAATAACCATCAAGCCTAGATAATAGTTATCAGATGCTTTGGTAAAAAAGTTTCAACTGAACGAGAATATTCTCAAATAATTTGGTAAACATTAACAAATAATTTTAGCAAAATATTTAACACCGTATTTATATATCAATTACCAAATATCGTGCAGAAATTTCCAACCAAATACATTTGTTAACTATTACGAGACTTTTTTTCAGTGCAGCGTTATTTTGCGTTGTATTAATTTCGACTCGCGCCGCCTGTGCAGCGACAAAGAATAACAACGCGCGTAATAAAAAAAAAACAGCGGCAAAACCGATGAAAAATGAGCACTCGTTATCTTTGATATCTCCTAATGGTCGAATACACACAAGAAAAAAGATTTGGTCGAGCCGATCAAATATCTGGTGAAATATGAACGAGACAATATTCCGTTTAAAGTTACCAGATTCTTGTCCAAGTTAACGAGGTTCTTTAATTTTAATCAAACCAGAGTTTTGGTTAACCAGAAATCTTGTTTGATTGATCAGAATCTTATTAACTTGAGTACAGAATTCCGGTAATTCCAATCGAAATTCTTCCTCGTTCACATTTCACCAGATATCTGGTTCCAACCAGAAGACGACTTTTCCATGCACGACTTGAAATTATAAATTATTAGTGGGAAAGAAAAATATCAAAATGCTGATTTTATCCGTTTGCAAAACGAAGCGAGATGAGAGTAGGCCGCGTTAAGGTACGCTTACCAGTTATTCGAGACACCCTGCGGAAGAACCCTTCGCGAAAGGCCGCGTTTGCGATGACTCTCGAGGCGTGAAGCTATTCACGCGGAGACCTTTGAGATCGCGCCTTCACATACGATACACTCTCGTTCTCACGCGTCGCTCTTTCTTTTTTACGTTGCAGGGAGAAAAGGGTGCCAAAGGGGATCCTGGTCCGATGGGACTGCCCGTACGTAATTTCTCTCCAGATTACACACACACACACACACACGCACACAAACATACACACGTAGTCTTAAGCATGCTTTAAACACGGATACGGGACGCGCAGAGACAAACGATGCAAAAGCGAACACCCCGATTGACTGTTCTCGGTAAGCCCGATCCGCTTTTTCGAAAATCTGCAGTCGGAAAATTCGACGCGCGCGTCTGTAGATCTCACAAGCACGGGGATTATGCTCTTTAAATTTCTTGAGGTGGAATCTCACTAAGACCGAGTGAAAAATTGCAGTATTTTCACTCGAAGCGATAGTAAAGATATTTCCACTAAAAATTGGAACAGAGTGAATGCTTGATTCAGTCAAGTTTAAAGTGAATTCGGACTCCATATGAGCGAATATTACCGTCGATTAAAATGAATATGTTCCTGTAATGGTAGAGTACAGCGAATTGCAAAACGGTTTAGACACGATGGAGTTGAGAGCTCGCCAAATTGTCAAAATTGAATCGCCACTGTGCGACAGGCTTTCCTAGTAATCATATTATTCATTATAATTAATAATAATGATCAATATCATTATTTATTATTCTTAATTGTATCGTTAATTATATTATTATTGCGCCAGTCCGTCGACAATGGCTCTCAATTTTGACAGTTTAGTGAGCTTCTAACTTGATTGTGCCTAAACCGTTTTGCAAGCCACTGTATATTAAATGCACTCTCTCTCCACTTTCGAGTGAAAATATCCCCTCGAGGGTTCAGGCTGGAGAATTCGTTCTTTATGAGTGGCGAGTCGCTCAAAGCGACTCGGTCGCCGCTGTACCTGTCGAGTGAAATTTCGCTCCAAGAAACTTAGAGAATACAGAACAACTCGAGCAAATTTAACAAACAGTCGATGATAGAGGAAGTCTGTAGAGGAAAAAGTTCAAGAGTGCAATAAGATTCGATCGTAGAATGTATCGTAGAGAAGAGGAAACAATGAGATAGAGAACTCGACGGGACGTATAACCGACAGTAGCGTATTACTACAGGGAAAGAGAGAAGCGGGGGGCACGGAGTAACACAATTAACAGATTGGACTTTATCGCCAGAACAAAGTACGCGAGAAAGAGAGAGAGAGAGAAAGCGGGGAGCGGTGTTGTACGCGCGACGCCCACACACGCACACACGGCAGGTACACACGATCCCCGCATGACGAGAGATACAACAGATACAAAACGCAAGCTTAGAGCTCTGTGTGCGTGCATCGTCCTGCAATAGAGAAGCGCGCGGGACCAGCACCTGCGCGCGCGAGACCCCTGCGCGCGGGATCGCCAAACCAGTCCACCAACAACCAATCCCGACAGTATCCGCACACAGCCGGCGTGACATTGCTGATGGACGTCTGTCTATCTACTTTCAGGGCCCCATGGGACTGAGGGGAGAGTCCGGAAAGCCCGGGGATTCCGGGAAACCTGGCGCCATGGTAAGAACGCGGACCTCCCGCTCCTAACGTCATCGTTACTTGGCGTCGCCGCCGCCGCCGCCGCCGCCGCCGCGGAATTCGCTGATAAGCCGATAAAGTGCGTTTATTTATCGCGCCTGCGAGAGCCACAGCGGCGCATCGCCGTTCCTCGCGCAATCCTCTCGATTGCCTCTCGAGTACTTACCCGCGTGTCTCTGCGTGTACATAAAGGACGAGGGCAGGAGGGAGGAGAACGTGCGACACAAGAGCGCAGTCACATCATCGCCGGGCAGAGGGAGAGAGGGAGAGAAGGGGGGAAGGAGAGAGAGAGAGAGAGAGAGAGAGAGAGAGAGAGACTCGAGAGGCGAACGGACGAGGACGTGGAAACAGAGATATCACAGCTTCCGTCGCGCGACCGCGTGCCGCTAATCGCGCTAGATCGATAGGCCGTAATCGCGAGACGTGCCTGCGTCGAGATCCGGAGGATCGGCTGGACTCCGCGGATCCGCCGTTTCCTGGAGCGGCCGCGAACCATCGACGACTAATGCACTTGCCAGCGAAAAAGGGAAAGAAAGAGGGAGGGAGGGAGGGAGGAAGCGAGAGAGAGAGAGAGAAAGAAAGTGATCAATGTATCGTTGAACTCAACGTCGAGACACTTTAACGTTGTACTCAACGTTAAGGCGTCTTTTTCTTCGCTTCGTGAGACTCGAACGTCGTCGATGTCGCCCCGGAGCCGAGACTCTCGACATAGAGAGGACGCCGAGGTCGCGCGCGCATTTTCCTTCCCGGCGTCGGGAAGTTGTATATCGCCGTGTTACAATCGAAACGCGGAAGCGTGCGTGTGCACCTCGTCTGCTCTCTGGGAGGAAGGGAAAGAAAGACAGGGAGGGAGGGAGGGAGGGAGGGAGGAGACATATGTTTTTCGACGTTTGAGAGGCGCAGTTTTCGACGCCGACGATATATTTATTCGCGCGCGCCTGACTTGGTTGTCGCCTCGCACGAAGACAAAGCGTTACGTAAAGAGGCTACACCTGTGTTTCCTGTAGCCTGCGATCTCGTCATTTCGTCACAGCATTCTCACAGGCACGAGACAGCGATTTGATCGGGAAAGGAAAAATCGCGCCGGTGCCTAACGTCGAAGATTGCAGGAGAACGAACGCGGAGGGAACGTCTTCCAGGGTATTGGGGCTCGTCGATGTCGGCCGCGGCAAGAAATCGTGCCAGTTTGGCGTGTTGACACATAAAATTGTATACAGGGACGCGACTCGAAGGTTATTTTCGGAAATTCTTGGATGAACTCTTTTGTATGTAAATTCTCTGGCGAATTCAATCAGGGCTGGGCCGCGAATCTGAAAATCATGTCTACGCGGATTGCTTTCGTATTGTCTGCGTGATGTGTACACGGTCTTTTTCTTTCATGCGGACAAGATAGAATATTGCAAATTACATTAAACTACACATAAAAAAAGTAATTAAACTATGAGACAGTATTTGGTTTGGGTATCAATTCGTGAAGAAAAAAATTTAGGAAGAATATATTTATATTGATTTGATTATATATATTTTTTGTTATATTATTTTAAATTGATTACTCTGTCTTTTAAACATTATACTTATAATATATTTAATAATTTTATTGTTAAATATATTATAAATGTACTGTTTAAAAGAGATTTCGAGAGAACAAATGGCATGAAACTTTCATTCATTTTATTACATAACAGATTGGTAGATTTAGTTTTAAAGATAAAAAATGTAACCAGAGAATTATGTGCACGCTAGGAAATAACTCTTAAATTTATGTCGAGAATCCAAAGGACTTAAATAAAAATATAAACTTCTCTTCGTTGATTTTTTAACACAAGTCGGTAGTAGATGACACCTCATATATAGTTTACGTTGTCTACATGTAGGGTCATTGTAACATAAAGCAATTCACGTGTAAACGCCCAACCCTGAACTCAACGGCGACCACCACGTCGTCGCGCTCTTTCAATTTTTAACATTTACCTTATCCCCGAAGGATCTCCAAAGGAAATTCAATTCTCGAGAAGAGAAGAGATTTTCTAAGAAAAAGATTTTTACGCAATCAGGTCACTCTGAAGTTATTCTGCCGGGCGCAGCATGCTCGGTTTCACATTTGCTGAAATATACTTTTCCGGAAGTTATTTTCCTCCGTAAATCCAAGACGCTTTGTATACTTGATGACGCGTGGCCGATCATCTCGCGAGAGACTCGGGCCGGATTTCGTAAAGCGATGAATGCCACGATTGTAAGTCGAATCGAGTGAAGGGAGAGAAGAGAAGAAAACTGAGACAGACGTCACGCAGCTGTTTTAACCAGATTCTCCAGATTTGGTTTTACGCCACTTTCGAAGTAAACTGCCTGCTCGGTCTGCGCGTAACTCGCGCACGATCGCACGTCAAGTCCCGTCCACATAGCTCGCGGAACGCAAGACGCAGGTGGCAAACGCACGTGCAAGACTACTAGGCGAGACTATATGGTCCCAGAGATATGTTGCTTGTGTCCTTTCCTTTAGCATTTATCTTGAGAGCAATAGTGGATACAAAGTCACAAAATGGTCCTTTTAGAACATAAATACTTTTTCGTGAGTTTTCCTTGAGAAACCGGAATAATACTACAGTTAAGAAATAGAAAAAAACTGATTTGATAATAGCAAAGTAAATATGGGCGGACAAGATAAGGTTGGCCCATAATTAAAGGAAACCTAGGTTAGGTTGTGGTATCGCGGCCTGCGTGTCCGCGAGTTATATAGACGGGGTTTCACGTATTACCATCCGTCCTCTTAACGTACTCTACGTGTCGGCTGATAATCAGCCGTTCACACCGAGAACAGGTCCACGAGATCACACAAACGCGTGCTCAGACTATAGTAGGCGCAGGAAAGACAGACTTTGCCGTCCCCCGTTAAATTTTCTATCGGCGTGTCTCGCGAGAAGACGCACGATCCCATTCTCACCGAGCGAGTCACATTAGTGTAGGGGCCGGGAAGGAGGAAGACTCCTCGATCTTTCCCCGAATAGAACGTGGAGTAGAGCGCTTCTCGGATTGTTGTCGCGCGATGTTTGTAGTGCGCCGGAGTACAGCGCGCGACCTCATTTTCTGATCGCGAATTTCGCGCAGTTGTACGGGCGAATCTCTCCTCCCCGCTTCAGACGTTTCATCCTCGGATCGCGAATTTGGCCGAACGACTTAAGCGGAGATATAATGGATCGGGAGATCTTTCTTTTAGGTAACGGCGGGCTTCTCTCTCCGCGGCCCGCGGCGTATCCCCGCGTCGCAAATGAATTCGGCGGGTCTTGAGAAGCGATTTTCAGCCTGTCCCGGGCTTGTGCCCGGCGAAATCCAGTTTCCCATTATGCCTCTTCTGGGAATAATTCACTCAGTTTGTACTTTAGAGAAAGCTCGTTCCCGCGGCATCGCCGGCGCCCTAATAATAACCCAGCCATTTATCACGATTCTTCTTCGTTCTACATTTCTTCATAGCATTCCAGCCGCATTTCACGAACCATCAAGAATTCCGTACGGTTATACGTCGGAGATGTATTAATGAAAAGCGAGAGAAAGAGAAAGAGGGAGGAAAAGAGAGAGAGAGAGAGAGGAAACGGGGTGGAATTAAAATCGAGACTCTTGGTCATTGCGATCGCATTAGAATTGCAACAGAAAGAGCGAGAATACGGGCGTAATTTTTTTCCACGGCACGTATCGAGATGAAAATGGAAGTTTCATTAATTTCGACGTATGCCGCGAGAATTATTGCTTGTCTAGCGGCGTCAATTCATGTGATTCTATCGGCGGGAACCGGGGAAATCTTAGTAACGCCGCGGTGTCCCCGGACAATCGCGATGAGAGGATGAGAACGCGTCGGTTAATAATTAAATTCGCTAAAAGCTACAGCGGCTTTTCTCTAGTGCCCGCGCGTGGAACAGCTGGACGCGTTTTAAATCATCGCTCAGCGCTTGCATAAAGCTTGCATAAAGAAGCAGCAGCAGCAGCAGCAGCAGCAGTAGCGGGCAAGGCGTGGCGAGGTAGAGAGAAAGAGATGGGGAGAAAGAAAGAAAGAGAGAGGGGGGGAGCGCGGGGAAATGTCGGTTCGCTCACTTACATTCGGTGAGACCTTTTATGAGAGTCGTGGGAAACGTTGGTATCGCGTGAACATCGGTCACAAGGAAATTTCACGTTCGCTCGAACAGTAGTAAAACGTTTCCGCGGCCAGCCGCCGCGAATAACAAGTAGGAGAGCGCGCGCGCATTCGCCTCTCTTTCTCTCATACCGTCTGGTTTCGGCTTTTCCGCCACGACCCCGTCGGGTGCACTACCGTGCTATTGATAGTTCGTGATACTTGCCCGCGGAACTTTGACATAGCTCAGAAACACGGGTACGACACTTTTGTCGATAATAAAGTAGACGAGTTAACCGAACGTCCGCGCACTCGCGCGACGCGGTCTAACGTGTGTGTGTATGTGTAATCATGGGATTGAGACCGGGTCCAGTTGGCCCCAGCGCCATGTCGGCCATTGTTTACATATTTATCATGAGGGAGACAGTGGAAACGAAGTCGCAAAGTGTTCCTTTTAGAACGTAGACACCTCTCTTGAAGTTTCTTCGAAGTCGGAATAAGATCACAGGTAAAATATAGAGAAAAAACTCTGATGAAAAGTCAAGTACATTCTTGAAATTAATACTCTCCATGTGAACGAAGAAACTTAAGTGTTATTCCAGTGCACGGAAAAGAGCAGTATGCTTGGCTCACACGTTAATCTGGTCGTGCCAATCAGATTCGATAGTAAAATATGGAACAACTAATCGTGTGGTTGCTACAAGCCGCAGAACAATTGCTTACAACCACAGAGTCATTGGCGTCGCAGCAATGACGATATCTGGTTGCTCCAACCAGACCGTACAAACATTATCCCAACCGATTTCTGGTCGCCACGACTAAATCATCAAGCATATCGATGCAATTGATATGCCAATGTAACTGAGCCATATGAACTATA